GATACCACTACTCAGGAGGCTGAGACAGGAGGAACACACACACAACACACACACACACACACACACACACACACACACATATATATATATATATATATATATATATATATATATAGCTGGGCTGGTGTATAATCCCATGGTAGAATGCAACTAGGTGAAGTTCCAGTACTTAAAGAATATTTTTTTAAAAGTGCAGAAAATAAGGATATTAACAGGAAAATCTAAAAGATAGAAATACTTGAATGGGCATATTACTATCAAAATTCAGACACCTCTATTTTAATTTTCCACTACATTTAATCTTAGAGAACATTATTATGGCTTGCTTCAAAACTTAACTTTTAAATTAAGATAATTCTGTTCTCTTGTGTAAATAAAAGTAAAAAAAAAAGAAATAGAAAAACTAAAGCTATTTATAGTTATCTTTAAACAATATTAAAAGGAAATAGTATGTTCCAGAGAGATAAGGGATACTTTYAAAGAACTGAAAGGAAAGATTCAATCTCAAATTTATTCAAAACTGTTCTCCATTGTCATTTCTTATAAAAATTGATTTTTTGTACTTACCAGTTATGTACATTATTCTCTATATCAAATAAGTTTACTCAGACAAAGGCACACTCAAACTGACAATATGTCCCATGAAGTGGTCACATAAAATGATCTGTGAGGTGAATATATTGGTTAACAGTTCCTGCAGCATTGYATCATCCTAAACCCTTGATATGTTCCAAGCAAAGAGCATTTTTTGTGGGTATTTCACAATTAATTAGAAAGGATAGCATCCTATCTTAGCAAAGGTTTTGTGTATTTCAGTATGCAAAGATCTAACCAGCAGCTAATGACACATACCCATAGAAAAGAAGAGCTAAAATTTGGAGAAAAGCTGTACAAAGGACAAATAGGTTTTCATAGTTATAAATTGTGAGGACTGAAAGTGGTATCATTGATTTCTCTAAAAAGATAAGAAAAAGAATAGTTTTAGGTACACAGGCCAGAATAGAGAGAGACCACAGTTAATCTAATTAAAATCATGAGAACAAACTCTAAGTATCCACCCACAGAATACCATCAAAATTCAAACTTACCTGATCTACTATCCAGAGGTCCAAAGTCCAAGGAATATTTCACTACATGATAGTTATTCCACACATAGAGTAGGTTGTCCCTGGGGTTGTAATCCACAGCTGCTATGTATTGATACGAATTGGGAAAAGGAACATCCACCAGACTATCCTTGCTTTGGTCGGTATTGTAAATGTAGTCAATCTTATTCCCGGTGGCCTCATTGTCATCATCCTCATATACAGATTTGACCACATACAGAATCCCACAAATCATAAATGCATTGGAAGCTGACCTTTTATCATATGCAGTATCCCATGTCCCTTCAATCCGCAGGGTATAAGGGTTCAACTGACTAATGACGATTTTACCATTGTTTTGTTCTGTTGCATAGATGACCCAGAGCCCATTTTCATCCACTGCCAGGTCTATGTCAGATTTGCCTCCCCATCGGTAAGGGGAGGTATCATGGTAATTGGCATTTGCTATGATAGCCTCTCCACTCTTTATCCTAGTCCGCAAATCAAACTTTACTATGTTCCTGGTGCGTTCTTTATTGAAGAACAAAGCTCCATCATACACAACAAATCCTGTGCCATCCACCCTATGAGGGAGCTTGTAGGTAGTAGTTGGCCTTCCAGCAATGAAGTCATCTTTGGATGAATATTCAGTCAAGGTATCAGTTCTGTAGGGGGTCCAGGGCATATAATAAATCTTGTCAGAAGCCTGAAGAGGGTCTTTGCACCATGCCCCAGACTGATGGTCAGACTCAAACAAATGTTCACTCTGGTATACTCCTTTTAGTAGTCCAGGACAAAGAAAAACTGTTGGAAGGGAAAGAATTAAGACAAAAATTGTATTAATTAATTATTTTCTCATATATTCTTATTTTTCAGCAAGAATGCAACTGTAACCAGAGATACCCACCACCACTTATTTTGGTGCATTTTTTGAGAACACAAAGTATTTTTCCATATTAATTTTGACTTTTTAAAAAAATCACTTTGATTTCATTTGCTTAAAAATTTAGACTTTTTAAATTAGTAGCTGTGCTTTCCTGTGGTTTTTACCTTTGTTAAAGTGTATGATAACATTTTTGAAGATATGTATCAAGTGCAACATATGTCTATGTATTCTGTAGACATATAAGGAATACAAAAGTCTATACACAATGTGTTTATGAGTTCACTGAAGAACATATCTTATTTGGAAATGAAAGTATATTGTTTCCACTCTCAAAAAATTAGCTGTTGAACAGTTGTTATTAATAAACATAGGAATATCCCACAGTAATTTTTGTTTAAATAAATGAAAAATCTTGTATGTTACAGGCCAGTGAATCCTCTAGCAAAAAAAGCTCTTGAAACTGCTACAACACGCACAGAGCATGCAGTCCACACAATTAAAAATGAGTGATGGATGGATACTGGAAGGAAAAAGAGAAAGGAAGAAAAAGAAAGGAAAGAAGGAATAAGGAAAGAAGARAGGGTGAAAAGTTACAGAAAAGAACCCAAGATCTAGATTTTAATCAGTTAAAAATGTCCTGTTAAATACAGTAGTATTGGAACTTAAAACATGTACCTTTTACTGTTACATGAAAAAAGCATTAAAAAACAAGATTACTTGCTATATTTTGCTGCTCATACTTCAGAATGAAAACAGGCAAGAATCATCTGATTCACCTGCATTTTAGTATGATTCAGTAACATATTGTGACAGTGGTTATAAGAAAGCTTGTCTGATTCATCTGACATGAAGGGGCAATAAAGCAATGTTTCCCATAGGGCGGTCCTTGAAGCACTGGTTTCAAGTAGTAAAGCTAGGTATTACAACAAAAGGAAAAAAAAGGATACTTAGCCACATTTATCTAAGAAATGTTACATCAGATACTATTGTGGTAGAGATTCTAATAGCACAGGTAAATTAGAGAATCTCCCCGGCAGAAGCTGTAAGGGTGAGGAATTTTCACAAACTAATTTGATCTTGGAATTTTTCCACAGAGCCTCTTTGGATTGCAGTCTTCTGCTGAACCTGCTGTGGGAAACACTGCTCTAATATATTTGCAAAGCAAACACACTGAAAAATAATCATGCAGTCCACTGTTATGTTTGAAGTGATTAGAAATATAYGGGGTGGAAAAATTAGGAAATCACAAGGAATTTAGATGCTGACCCACTTTTAATGATTTATTATTCTTTCAGCATTAGTGATTAGCTTTTCAATAACGATTATAAGCACAGATTTAATGGAAAACAAGATGAAACTCAGCTACATTTTTGGAGATTATTGAGAAGGACAGTAAATTACCAAAATCTCCCAAGTTTTAATTTTGAAGAAATAATAAGATGTCAGGGGAACTGGCTATCAAAATATCCCATAGCAAGAATAGAAGAGCATTGCCAATTTAGAAACCATAATAATATTGATAATTATAAAAATTTCTCAGCTGTTTAAATGATTGCTTTAGTTGTAAGGAAAAGTAACTCTTTGCTGTAAAAATTGTCCATCACCTTTATGCTAAAGTTAATAATAAGCCCTTGGTTGCTAAAGCAATTTAAAATATTTTAGAAAATTATCTCCCTTTCCCCCTAGTAGACACAAATGAGTGAAACAGGGGAACCTACTAGACCAGAGCTATGAGAAATCATTTAGCACATAAATAAAAACAAATCTAAAGCAATCACTGTTCATCACATCTACTGGACTTCTAACTACTTACTTAAAAATAAAGAGGAATATAATATAATGTTGAAAATTTTATAATATTAAACTGTGTTAGGATAAAAGGATCAAACCAGCATTGGTCAGTAAAACAGATTAAAGTGAAGTTGAGCAGCAGAAGTAGTAAATAAACTTTCATAAAATAGATAAGAATTAATAACAAAATTATTTTAGCTCAATGTTAAACTGTTAAATAACTTAGCCTATAAATAGCATATAATTTATGAAAGGTATTTAATTACCTTTTTGTTCCACTTCTATTGGAGAGAGAGAAGTAAAGAGAGAAAGGAGAAAAGAGAATAGATTAATGGTACGGTATTGGCCAAGCAGTTTTTATTCACCTCTTCCAAACTGAAAGTAAATAATTCATTTCACTCATACTTYCTTCATCGAACATTATGTTTATTGTTTAAAAACCCATTTGTCTAATGCAGTTTAAAAAAAATCATGTAAACTTTAAAATACAGTATAAACTTGGAAAAATAGACAAAAATTAATCAATCTGATTGAATAAGCATACTACTCCAAATGATAGACATGAAATGCAATATTTATAATTACACCAATATTTTATATTTTAAAGGGCAGGTCAGCAATTATATATACAGAAAGCTTTCAAATAATTTTGTTTGTTTTACTTATAAATACTAAGTTTGTACCATTATTTAAGATAATAGTCTTCTTTTTTTATTTCAATAAAAAATGTTTCTTTGGAAGAACTGACATCTTCACAAGAAGTAGTTTCTTGTCAATTGTTTTCTAGAACCTATGACTCCTCATAGCTTATCTGTCTTGTGTGAAATGTCCTCTATGATGTTACACATTAACCGGGAAGCTCTTTCCCTGAATAAATGAACTTACAACCCTTCTTAAATAAATTTATCTCACACTTATCAATATTTGATATTATCATGGAAAACTACTGTCATTCAGAAATATCTATTAGCAGAAGATTCTTACAATTTTATAATTCTTTTTCTTATAATTCTTACAAATCTGCCTCTGCCTTTTTGACATTCTTAACTATGTCAATATACAGTCATGAAAATGTAGTGAGGTCCTCAAACACATAGTGTTTATAATTTCTAAAATTAATTTTCATTATTGTTTTTAAGTTACTGATCAGTATAAGTCAGTGAAAGTTTTGAGAAATTATGACATATTCATCAATGTCCATTAAGTGGCACCTTTTTGAACTTATAAACATTTGTCTCTTTAAACACAATTTGCCTGCATCCTAATGAGGAAAAACAAACAAACAAACAAGTTACCAACAAGAAAATGGTCCAAGTGTCAGGAAGAATGGTTTCTTAAAACTTTAAAAATTACAGATTATAAATATTGTAAAACTAAGGCAATTTTACTGGAAGGGATGAACTGATAAATTATGCACAGTAAACATATTGAAAACTCCAGGAAAATTTCAAAGACAATCAARAGATGCTGTTTTGGTTAATTACATTTGGGTGAGATTTTTGTTCTTTGACCTAAACTCATGTTTTCAATTACTGTCAATACATACTTATTTCTAGTCATTGACTTTTGAAACCTCAATATCACACATTTTAAGAAAAATAAACCTGTATATACAAAAAGTTAGGCTAGAAAGTTGTAGCTCACTAATTTACAAGTCTTATTTTTAACACTATTTCTAAAATTACTTAAATATTATATTGCCATAGTGTATTCTCAGTTATACTTTATTGAGTAACTAACTACACGCTAAACGTGACTGTATTGACTAAATAGAGACCAGTTAAAGACTTTATCTAAGAGATGTATGCCATGCTTTCACTAGAATACTAACCTGTGTTCAAACTTAAAACTAGAAGACCCTGCACATTTAAAAATTACTTAATCAACAGTCTCAAAAATTTGGACTTAAAACCTATTACAGTGAGGGTGGAGATTAGAAATGGGAAGTCATCCTACAGTTCACATTTTTCAATCACTAACCTACAAAAAATGTTTGATTAATTTGTTTCCTTCAAGTAGCTCCAGATACATGTTTTTGAAAATTAAATACGGAGCTATTTATACTCTAAAACATGAAATGTACCCTCCCTCACAGAATGTTAGTCTACTTTCACATTAAAGACATTTTTATTTACAAATATCCTACTTTCTTGAGTGAAATTTGTCCCTTCAAAATGAGGAAGATAGGATTTGTAACAAAAAATAGTGATAATGTTTCTATTATATTTTGTAAAGATTATCTTACATTTTAATAGAAATTTTGATTCTTCAAAGAACTTTCATCTATCATCTCAGCAGTCTTTTGGAAGAATTTTGCTTTTAATACTCAGTTCTTAGTCTAATTTCCAAGAAATTGGCATAAGCTCTATTGTAAATAGAGCTTGCCTCTGTTACTTGCTGGTTACTCAAAATTAAGATTTATTAGGCAGTTCTGCTTTGGAGAAAATTATTATGGTCTTGCCCATGTCATGACTGGCTGTAGCTCATTTATCTTTTATTTGCTATTTTCAAGACTGAAGTAAAACAGACCTATAATTTAAGTTGAAACAAGTGCACACAAATCATATTCCCATAACAAAAACTGGCAAGACAACATAATTTGTCGTTGAAAAGCTTAGGAACATTTAGAATTGGCCAGTCATTTCCTATCATCCAATTCTGATTCTAGAATGTTCCTTATCCCTGAGACAACAAATTAAAGTGATTTTTGAAACAGCATATCACCATTTCCTTTGTAATGCCTATTGTGATTTAGATATGCGGTATCCCCCAAAAGTTCCTGTGTGAGAAAAAGAAGGTTCAAGGTAAAACAATGTGAATATGAGAAGTATRACCTAATCAGTAGATTAATTCACTGATTTGGATTCACTGAGAAGTAACTGTAGACAGGTAGGATATGGCTGGAGGAAGTAGGTCATTAGAAGTGTGCCTTTTGGTTCATATTTGTCACTGGTGAGCCCAGTTCTTCAGCTTCTTAACTGCCCTGTCCTGAGTTGCTTTTCTCTGCAGTGCTCTTCCACCACAATGTTCTGCCTTACTTGTGCCTAAAACTGAGGAGGCACCCCCGAAGAAGCTGAACTTCAGATACCATGAGACAAAATAGACTCTTCCTTTTCTTTGTTTTTCTTATCAGGTCCTTTGGTCACAGTGACAAAAAAAGCTAACTAAAACTGCCGAACAAATAATATATCCCTAATCAATAACAGCTGAATTAAATATATAACACAAATAATGGTGAATATTATTGCTTCTTGATGTTTGAAAAATGTTGTAAAACATGCTGAAACTATCTGGTTGTACCATGTGAAATCAAAATGCAATGAATTATCTGCATAATGCCTTTCAATATTGTAATAGATGGAAAGGAAAGTAAAATTTATAAGAAATTTATCTAACTCATTAAACATAAAACTGGAGAAAAATTATATAGATAGTCCTGCGAGTTATACTGGCAAGAACAATTTGTTGCCATAAAACAGCCTGCAAAGATCTAAAAATACAGGCCTAACATACTTGTTTTTCTCCTTTCTGAAATGAGATCACAAATTAATGAATTATATGATGACAACTGCGGCAGGGCCTTCTTCAGGATCTCCTATCCCATAGCTTGACTGATATTCTGAATTCTGAACATTATAAGTGTCATTGTTCATTTCCAAACCTCTTTGGAACAAGTCTGTTTTCTTTTCTCTCTTTGCTACAACTACTTTTGTTGTCCATTCAGTCTCTATAAATACGTTTATATATTTCCTTAAAGTGATTTCATTGTTATCCTTTGTCAAACTTAATGTCATATGCTATATCCTGTGGTTAGAGGGAATGGCAAATTCACACTAAAGATAATTTTATTCTGTATAAAAGGGGGAAAGTAGAAAAAAAAGAGTCTAGTAAAGTTTCCCTTCAATCTTCAGTGTTCATAAAATAGATATAACATCCAATTATGTTATTGCTTAGTAAACTAAAATGTTATCAGTTCTAACCAGTTTTTTTGTACCACATGTAAAACTTTAGAATTGCATCCTTTAATTTAAAAAGGTATGGAACAGAGAGCATGTATATTCATTGCCAAGTTTTTCCAAGCTGCATTGCAAACTGCAAAGAAATAAATTTTTTGCATGCAGAAAATTGTTAGTGCCATAACTAAGAACTATGAAATGGCATCTAAATGTCCTTTTAATTTCCTTTTCTATACAGTAAATCATAGATCACATTTTCTATCTATAACATCCATGCTCCTAATAGGTAGAAATTTATAATCCAATAATGCTTCTCTATTTCTGCAATATATAAACATATACCTATGAAGAACATAATATAGTTATAAAATATTAAATAATTTATAAGAAAAAGATTTTTCATTGAAATGATATTTTAAAAAGAATTATTTTTTGGGTTACTTTTGGCTTAGATTATTAAAATACATTTGGGTACCCTTATCAGAAACTTGCTGACAAATTAAGAAAGTGTAGAAAGGCAAACTACATAAGTTATAAAAAAAATGAGTCTTGCATAAAAATTTCACCAGATTTAATTTTTCATACAAAAATTTAATGTGGCATTTATTTTTTCCATCTGATAAAAATTGACAACAACTCAAAAAAGCTTAAAAGATTTGATCAAGGTCAATACTAAGAGGTATCACAGACCTGTCATGTGTGTACAGGTTCCATGCTGATTCTACCAACAAGTAAATTCAAAGAACACATTTTTATTTTTGTACTCTTGCTCTTCATTTCCATTCTATCACCAAATCCATGAAGGAGCATACTTAAGAGGAGATACACAATATAAGCAGAATCTCCCTGAGGGTAGGCACAATATCTGTCATCATATGCACTAATTAAGAACTGAAGTTTTGTATACAAGACTGATGCTATTTAAACATMACAAAACTCTTATGAAGTGGACATTATCATTATCTTCAATTTTCAATGGAGGAAACTGAGACACAAAAAACATGGCTATATGGATAATATGTATTAGAACTGGGATTCAAATCCAAGTTTTGATCTTACTCATTAATGATCTTCAGTAAAATGAAGAATAATCTTATTTATCTCTACACCCAACACATTGATCTCAATTAATATTCGTTTCTTCTTTGCAAAAAATAGAAATACAGTATTTTCAAAGAAAGGAATTAGATCACATACTTGTTAGCACTATCATCCCTTGAGTCTAGAAATGCAAATCATCTCTTACAGGATTAAAATAATAGAGGGAAAAAATGGGTTCCATATTTCTTGGTCAAAGAAAACATGATTTCTGTTATCAGTGAAAG